GGCATTTTATTGCTTTTGAAAAGGCCCATAACTCCAAATTTAAATGACTTTAGTGAAATAGATATTTTCAGGATGATATATAACATCAAAATACCATAAGTATGTAGAAGAAAAATGAATTTATTTTATCTATCAATTAATAAGGTTTTGGCTTACTTTTGGTTGTGTTATGAAAATGATGAACTCAGTGTATCTATGAATCTATTTGTATTTTAAAAATATTTCCTTTTATTTTTGAGATTATTGAATAATTATATAATTTTCCCATTCATGTTCCTGTCTCCAAACTCACTCATCTCTCCTTTCACCTCTTTTCAATATAATGTCATCCTTTTTCTTTTCTTTTACTTTTTTTGGGGTAAACATTTCTTTTTTTAATTTTAATCTTTTTTTTGAAAATTGGATAGGTATCCTTTTTCATTAACTGTCATTCATAGCTACATATATGAGTATATGGATATATGGACTATATAAATATCACCTGCTCTAGGAATGACTATTTGCAGGATTCTTTTTATTTATTTATTTATTTATTTTTATTATTATTCTTTTTTTTACAGTCCAGTTGTTGTGTCCTCTTCCCGGTCTGCTCTCTGATTGTTCCTCATCCCATACTTCCTCCCTTGTTTCTAAGAGGATGTCCCCTGCAGCATTCTTTTAAAGGCATCTTTTTTTCTAGATAGAGAATTATGATTACACATTCTGGATTTTGATGGATGTCAGAGTTCACACGAGATGATGGCACTGATTCCCATGAATGGCGTTGGAAAGCAACAGTTTCTTTCTCTTTGCTAGGAAAACGCAACATTAATTCTAACAATAATAGTAGTAGATTAAACATAGTGCTTAGTATGATGTAAATATGACCAAACTGTTCTAAGATTTCCACACATAACCCTGTGTATTATAAATCTTTACCAACTATATGTGTGTATGTGTGTCTGTGTGTGTGTGTGTGGCATATGTGTGTGTTTCACAGATTCCTTGGGTTCACATTATTTGGAGTTATCCATAATGACTGTCCATCTTCCCATATATATATATTTTGGCTACTCTGTGTGCTTATTCAGACCATTGTTGATCAGGATTGTCTGTTTAATGGTCCGACACAGGTGACTTTCTCTCTTCCAATATAGAAAGCTATTCCTGCCAAGAGGGCGCCCACTCAGGGGCTTCCTGTACCTTCAGCACATCACATGATGTGATGGGATGGGATCACATCATCCCATTCCTGTACCTGAATGGGATGATGTGATCACTTTTAGGTGATAGAAAGTGAGTAGACTTGATATTTGCCATGTCTAGGTTGCAGGGAAGCACACACACTCACACACACACACACACACACACACACACATCTTCCTCCTTTCCTGTACATCAGCTTCATTCATGTTGTGATGGAGGATGCTCTGGGAAGCCATGTGCGGCAGCTTTTGTCAGCCTAAATAACTGTGTGGAGCAGAAAAATCCCTTATCGGATTTTGCTCCCAACAGGAAGCACCTTCATTAAACAAAGAGAACATTAACTTCTACTTTATGTTACTGTAACTATGGGATTTGTGTGTTGTAATAATTAGCATTACTCAACTATTTTTATAATATTAAAATTAGAAAATGCAGTTTTCCAATAAGAATGGATGAAGGAAAACTAATATGGTATTTCCTTTCTAAGAAGTGCAGGGTAAGGAAACAGGAGCAAGGAATATGGCTTCTGTCTGTCTGCGTTCTAACCCTGGATGTGCCTCTTGTTATCTGGATTTCCTGATGAATTTACAGATCCTCTCTGTGGCTCCATTTGCTCATAAAATAAAGATCCAAAAGTCTTTATGTCATGAGGTCCTTTCGGGAATGCATAATAAATAGCTCACTTATTATTGCTATCAGTATTATCTAGGTATCAATCAATAACAAGATGTATTAACATGTCTTAGGAGATGAGATAAACTTATTCCAATATATCCTTACGCTGGAGAATTAATTTCACAGCAGGGTACATACGATGATTCCAACTTGTTTCACAAAGGGATTTTGTGATCTTATAGTATAAATGCAAATAAATGGGTATATATATATATTTATGTGTGTGTGTGTGCGCTTGTATCTGTGCACGCTTCCATCGCAGTGGTGATTGTCTTCGGGTGGAAGTGTGTGTAAAACTGAGGGTGTGTATGTATCCAGTATGATCTAGAGCAAGCTCGTATATATAGCTATTGTACTGGAAAACAGTTATGGTTCAGGAAGGAAGTTAGCACATTGACCAAGGTAATTTATTTAGTCAGAGGTAAGGAAAGCAAAAGAAATGAGCAACATTTATTGAGTACCTCTGATATATGAGCCTGTGAGGTGAGCTTAGTATACAGATTCTATTTCATTACTTCTCCATAATTGTTCTCCAAGGAGGCCCAGAGGCTATCAACATGGAGTTTCTAGTTCTGCCCCTTCCCAGCTGTGTGGGCCTCAGGTCTATTAATCTTGTGGAGTCTTAGAGTCCTGGAAATAAGGAATAGACTCACTTTTCTCATAAGGCTTATATCAGGATCAAATGAGATAACACCCATTAAGCCCTTCGTCTGCCTTAGTGTGCTTGGCAGCATGATGACTTCTTAATGTGAAAGAATAAGAATGTTAAATGTTTGTCTGTATCCTTAACACTTTTATAGATCCTGGAGTGATACGAAGCAGGTTTAAGACTCATTTAGTTAGTTAGTGGAGGCAGAAACCAAACTCACGGCTATCTGATTCCAGCTTGCATATTACTTCAGGCTTCCCTCTGGCAACTTCAGAGAGCAGAGCTGTCAGTAACCAGCCATGCAGGCAGTCACTAAGTCTTAAATGAATTTTTAAAAGTATTGACAGTAAGAAAGATGTCAACTTAAAATGGTTTCCATTAGGATAAAATTTAGTCAAAACTCTTATATTTAATACATACATATTTTAGGTACCCCAATAGGACAACAAAATATGACAGGGTTGTTAGCTTGTCTTATCTTCATGTGACCGTTTCTGTATGAGTTTACCATTTATTACCGACATACATAGAGCACGCAGCACAAATATCACTGCTAACATAGCAAGAAGAGTCTGAAAATTTGTGGTTTCATTGTATTTGCCCATGTATACTAATTCTAACCTGTCTAAAGAAGCAGAGAGGTAAGATACAGAGGCATAAGCACCCAACTATGCCTGGTGTAAAGCTCAATTCTGCTCTGTACTTAGGGCCCTTCTAATATCTCAGGGCTGGTTCTCTACCATTAAGATGAGATGAATTAAACCAGAAACAGTCAAGGATCCCAATTCTGAATTTCTAGAATCTAAGGGATGGTGGACATGGTTGAATCATGAGACACTAGCAAGAGTGTTTGGGAAATAATCTTTTCCTAGTTTTTCTCATCCATTTGATTTATTGAGGACTGGTAGAAATGCACACTGCTAATTTACTTAAGATGCTATTGTGTACAATTCATACATTCTTTCAACAAATTCTTTTGTAGTTATGATGGAAACACCAGGAAGAGGAGATCTTCTCTAACCCTTCTAGAGTGTATGTTGAGCAGGGTGGGCCTGACATCAAACAGGTAACAGGATATCATGTAAGTAGCAGAGATCTTGGAGAAATACAAAGCAGATAGAGAATGGGACTATAAAGGAACACATGGCTATGGTGGAAGTCCCATGGTCTGGGAGACTGTCATGGAGGAGGTGACTTGGAGCGGGAGGTGGGGTGAGGTGGCTGTGTTTAAAGAGAAAATGTTCTGGGTCAAAGACCATAAAGACTGAGGCTGAAGAGGCCAGCAGCTGTGTCTAAGGTTCAAGACAAAGAGATACAGTTTGGATAGCAGCTTTGGAAGGCTTTTAAATATCAGATCTATATTTCATAAAGATTATTTTGTTGTTGTTGACACTGAACCCAGCTTGTTCATAAGCTGGATGGCCAGTTAAGGAGTCCTGCATGTTCTAGGAAAAGGGTGAGGTCAGCTTTACACAAGTGAGGGCTAAGTGGAGAGGCAAGCAGGTGGCGTTGAGCTGGGGATGGAGATGGAGAAGCCCAGACTTGCTCAAGTTCCCATTGTGATAGAAAGAAGGACCAGGCTGCAGTCGGGGTTCTGAGTTTGGACAGTTGTGTGAGTGAAGTGTCATTTATTGAGAAATGCTGGGACTGGAGAGGAAGACAGGAGTGCTGTTTAAGGGGCCAAATTGGGAGTTTTATTTGAACCTTGTTAAATCTGGCATGCCTGCTAGATAACCGGTATACATCACATGAGGGCGGAGGATAAAGGAGAAGTCAGAGCTGCATGTACAAGCAACTTGGCTGTTTGTTTGTTTGTTTTTGGCACAGGACTAATTTTCCTTACTATCCACAATCTATCAAAAACTATTGCTTCAGTTTAGAGCGATGGTTCAGTGGTTAAGAGCACTGTCTGCTCTTCCAGATGACCCTGATTCAAATCCCAGTACCACAATTGTCTTCAACTCCACATCCTGGGGATGTAGCATTCACCCAGATATACATGCAGGCAAAAGACCAGTGCACATAAAAATAAAAATATTATTTACCAAAAAACCTTTTGTTTCAAAGAATGATCATAAATGTTTAATTTCAGATGTAGGTCATAGATTAGAGGCTATAAGCAAGCTGTGTTTCTTTGTTAAAACAACAGAGAAATGTTTGTTCCCCTGAGAGTCATCAGGAAGTAGGAGGGGAGGTGAACAAATTCTATTTAAGGCACGGGTAGCATCTTGAGTAGATTACCTGAGTGGATTTCTGTCAGTATCCAGTATCAATATAGTGAGAAATTACAAGTATCTTTGGGTGATTAAGAATGTGGGTTAGAGTTTTAAGTTATTTCATAGAGAGAGTGTAAGACTGGCTTTTAGAAGAAATGGTTTTACATTGTTTAAAGTTTTCTTCTAGTATCTATTTTCATAAACACTGAAAGTCAAAACCAGATCCAATTTCAGTTCCCTAACAGAGCCCCAAATAGTATTTGACTACAGACTAGAACTTGAGAGTTGGATTCCTACCAACAAGAGATTAATGTTGAAACTTCTACTGGAAATCCCCTGACCTCTCAAGTCGAAACTCAGCGCTCAGCGTCTCACGCTGGATCATAACTTGAGTGAATGATTGTTCACCAACAGGTAACAACATTATTGCAGTTTTAAATCCAGTCTGCAAACATCAGAACCTCCTTTCTCATACTGATAGCCAGTGCACAGCAATTTTGAATTTTTGGCTGATCGGTCATGTTTATCATTGTTGGAATATATTGGTTTTTGTTTTTCCTTTGAGAAACTTGATCCTCGCTTTCAGATGACTTGAGGTTATGATTAATCAACATCTACTACTAAAAGGTTTTGAAATGACATCGTCAGGAAGCTCGTTGACCGGGCTGTGCAATTTGGCTTTTGCTATGGAGGTACAATTTGGGCTTAAATGTCACCAAGCAAAGGAAACCTATTGGTGGGAATTTATTCTACGTTTCATCTTGGGAAATTGAGAATTACCCGGATCACCCGCCTCTCAATCTTTTCCAATGCATGATTTCTTATTTTAGAAAAACGAAATGGATACAGTCTAGGCACTTGGCTAATCCTTGGGGATAAACACTGGGGTGTGGAAATGGAGTTTTCCTCCTGTGGAGAAGGGAAAAGGGCTTTAAAGAAACAAATTAGAGTAAATACAAGCCACAGATAAATGCCTGGCACTCTTTGTTACCTTGAAAGCCCATTTCCTCCCATTTGGAGATAAACACAGGTTATATCTGTACATGTGTGGTTTTAGTGGTATTATTAACCAAACAAATTGTGCTTTATTATCTGTTAAAGCCCCATCTTTATAAATGTTTTCCCAAACTTTGCCCTCTTTTTGAAAAGTTTTAGAACTACTAAATTTTGTATTTGCTACTCTGTGCCACTGTTTATGATCCATATAAATCTGTGTTTGTTTTTTATCTGTGCTTTTTAAAAAAATCTGTGCCCCAGAGAGGCTTGTATAAGCTGATGTAATAAGTTGTTTTCGAGAGGGACTTAGAATTCTTAGGACCTGGTGTCTGAAGCTGCACCGAGACTGTAACAGACTATCATAAAAAATGCCAAAGCTATAGGCAGAACCCTATATGGGAAACACTTTCTCTTCAGTATCAATGTCTTTCAGGTCAGGAACTCTCTCTAAAGCCAGACTTCTGTTAAAGTGTGTTAGTGTGTGTGTGGTGGTGGTAGTAGTGGGGCATCCTGAAGCTTATTGGAAACAGGTGACCCTACAATCTAGGATTCCCTTCTAAAGAGGATGAAGATGGCCTCACAGAGTTCCAACCACTCAGGAACTACATAGTCCTTGTAACTAGATATGGAAAAAGCATCAAGGAGAAATATTTCAAAAATAGTTTCAGATGTGCGCATTTTAACAGCAAATAGTCCAGGAAACCGCAGAAATTCGATAGGAGGAGGATTTTGAAGGCACAGGATGGCAAATGTCCTAAGGATTAGCTACAGCACTTTGATGTCCAAATTCCAAGCAGAGATTTGGAGTCTGTGGTGGGGGCTAAGGAGTAAATATTTGAAATGTTTTTGTAAAAGGAAGAAGTAAAAAAGAAAAAACTGAGATTAAAAGAGAAAAGAAAAGAAAAGGAAAGAAAAGGAAAGAGAAGAAAATAAAAGAAAACCCCCAAACCAAAATCTGGACAGTATAGGATTAAAACTACTAGTAGAAGAATCTAAAATTACAAAGTATGTAAAGCAAGTGCTTTAGTAAATGGAATAATCACATTTGTGTGGCCAAACAAGAGAAAGTTCCAAGACTGGCTCATGTCGAAGTCGAATGGGTGGGTGGCACCATGTGTGTATGAATGTTCTACCATGGTGAGTGGGGCTGATGTTCTTCAGTGGATACTTACTAGCTGGCAGCTCCCTGGCATTTCAGTTCAGTAAGCGCATATTGAATTTGACTTGAAACCTCTAAGTTAGCGGTAGGTATGTAGATACTTTAGGGCCAGTGTAGACAGAGACATGCCATCCATACCCTATACAAGGATGAGAGAATTCTTGAAGAGACTACAGAATGTAATAATAATTATACTGAGGGATGCTACAAAGGAGAGATGCCCAGAGAACCTTGCAGAAACTGTTAACCTTGTTAAGACTCCATGGATCCCTCCCAGGTCCAATCAGGGTAAACTGTAATCCAACAACCAGTTTCAAAAGACACTCCAGTTAATGCAAAATTCTTTAGCTACTGCACACACTGTCCCTGCAGCAGCTGCATCTAATGGTGTCCAGGATCCAAAACATAACTAGCTTGTTTTCTACTCTATCCCTCTGGTAAAGTAAAGTTTATTCTTATTTAGCATACATGAACTCTCAAATCTAGAAATACAGTATTGGTATGAGTTTGCAGAGGAAATAATAAAACATATTCACGGAAGTCTTACTGACTAGGCATTGGACACTTTGTTCTATTTATGTTGACCGACCTGGGGCTGATAGGAGGGTACTTTGAACCTACCAAGCTCTAATTTATCCTATCAGCCACTGCTTAGATGCCCGACATCCAACAATGCTCTTTATACTTGTCATCTAATTTTTTTTTTCTTCAACTTCTCCTGGAAGTTCTTTGAAAAGTCAGAAATTCCAAGTTAAAATTCATTTAGCATTATAGAGACCAAACTAAAGCAAATCACAAAACACCTTTTAGAATATGATTTAAGAGAGTTAGAGGCACTATTATATGCTTCTTTAGCTTCAGAATGAGAGCACTTACACAAAAATTCTATGGTAAGTTATCCTTTGCATTGTCTATGGTAATGACAAAATGCCTGCAGTGTAAGATTCTGTACCATCATACTTTCTGCGGACCAATCTGCCTACTGCAATATTGCTGGGCATAGAAAATAACAGTCGTCATTTAGAGCATTCTTTCTGTGATCCAAAGAGCCATTTTTGCTATTCAGCTTTTGGATGCTATATGTATTTATATAATTCCAACATCATTATGATGTAAAGTGGTACATGATGAGAAGTTTTGCCTCTCCTTGTCAATCTGCTTGAGTAATGTCTTCAGGTGAACATTTTTATTCTTTTTTTTACTTCAGAATCTCTTATCAATTTTTAATTCAGATACAAAGCAACATAAATACTTACTCTTACTCTTTCTTTTTTTTTCTTTTTTTTTTTTTGTTTTTTTCGAGACAGGGTTTCTCTGTGTAGCCCTGGCTGTCCTGGAATTCACTCTGTAGACCAGGCTAGCCTCGAACTCTTGAACTCAGAAATCCGCCTGCCTCTGCCTCCCAAGTGCTGGGATTAAAGGCGTGAGCCACCACCACCCGGGGTTACTCTTACTCTTTCTTACACAAATACCAGCACAGTACACATTGTACCTTTACATTTAATACAGCTTGATAGTACAGACAGATGCCAACTGTATTTTATCATGTGGACATTCTCTAGTTGATCCAGTTGAAGAACAGTGGTGAAAATATTAGGAAACTCAGTTAGTGGGTAAAGAATAGATGCTTATGTTATTTAAACAATTATGGATGCTTTTTTCATAAGTGACACTAGTTAGCAATCCTGTTGGGTGTGTAGGCTTGATTCAGTGATGTGGAGTAACCACAGATCCATTGAAATACTGTCTGGTGGAATTGAAGATTCCTGTCAGTTGGATAGCTAAGAAAATATGATTGTATACATTTCTTTCACAGGAGTGTGACAGTGTGCTTAAGAGACATACTTTTCTTTCAGTGGATTCAGTTCATCTTCTCCTTCTCATCTTTTATTTTGTACTGAGACTCCAGTTTTCCCTTGACTTCTGTGTTCCTTCTATCTTAAGGGGATCTTAATTAGTTTTCTTAATTAGTTTTTTGTCTTTGATAAGACGTATATGTATTTTTCTAGGTGTTTCCTACAGTTGCTTTTATATTTGCTTCATGTGTCATGCAACATTCTATGTTGGTTTTGTCTGTATTTGTGATCATGGTTAGAAAGTGAATAAAAAATGAATTATTAAAAAAGGAAGGCTTCTGAACTTTCAAGGTCATAGAGATTCCTATATCTGTGTCCCACTTTTTTATTTTTCATGTTTGTTTTACATCTTGACTTACTGGTAATTTATCTTAAGTAAGACAGACATGGATCTAACATGACCTTTTCCTACATGAGCAGATGGTTGCTCCATCAAAAAAAATGTACCTCAGTAAGTCAAAAATCAATGAATCTGATCTCCTGCTGATGGTTTGTCGATGCGGGGGAAAGAGACTTTCCAGTTCGTTATGATTAAAAACAAAAGCCACTGGGAAAAGTAAGGAGGAGTTTTGAAGAAAACGACCCTCTTGGGTATAAGAAAGGGGGATCTTATGAGAAGTTTTGGGTTAAGGAGAAAAAACAACCTTTCTATAAGTTATACAAGAATTGTGATTATTGGTCCCAACAATCTATATGGTAGAAGTTTTAAATGTGTTAGTCTGAGGGAGCCATAAATGTCATTTATCTCAACCAAGATATAGTTTACATCCATGAATATATATCTTAAAAGAAATAGCCACATTGTAAAAATCATTTTTTTTCTGGTAAAAATACTTACTACATACCCCAGTAATTTCTAGAGAAATAAAAATTCATGTTCACATAAAAACAAGTACAAGGATATTCATAAAAGCTTCATTAGTAATAGCTAAATAATAAACCAAATGAGGTCCTAAAGGGAAATGAATAAACAAAATTGTAATGTATTCCTATCACAAGATATATTATTCAGCACCAAAAGCAAATGAATTACTGATGGCAGGTGCCCTCATTTTGAGTGAAGAAAAGTGAATTTCTAAACCTTGCTGTTGTATGAGTACAGTAGTAATTCCCCAGGGATAAGAAAGAGGAAGTGAGGGCACTCTGACCTGGGGATCACAGAGGTTATGATCTGAAGGAAAGAGTGACTTTAAAAGCTCAGCGCTTGGAATTGCAGGCCATGTTTCTGTTGACTGGCAGAAAGATTCCTAGTCTTGATCTGAGTGCACAACTCTGTCCATATGATAAAAACTTATTGGGACACACATATACAAGGCAGTGCGTGTAAAAACTAATGAAATCTGAATAAGCTCATTTAACAGTAGACATTCATGTTGGTTTTCTGTTGGGAAAACCAGAGAAAGGATACATTCTAACATGGAGATTTGTAAAAAGGACTCATTATTTTTATGTAGGTTTCGGGGGAGGAGGGAAGCCAGGTTGTATACTAAGTGTTTAGAGAAAGAATTGTCTCTGTTCTGATGCTTATAAGTATTTACTTTTTGACTTTATATAATGTCTTCAAGGAGAAGGAGGAGGGAGATTTAGGAATAAGACTCAAGCCTCATCATATATTTTATTAGTTTGATCCCATGTTGCCCATACATGGCACAAAGTGATAATGAAGTGTTGTCAAGTCAGGACTTGAGTCGATGCCCTGCCCCCTAGCTCTTTGGTATATGGCACAGGAAAGCTCCTAACCCAAGTCTCAGTTTCTTATGCCATAAAGTCTGGATCAAATCCCTATTCACTTTAGTACAATTTTTTGTAGGAATTACACAAAATAGCTTTCATCTATGATTTATGATTAAAACCATGAAGTTTTATCCCTGCTGATATAATACCAGGCAGCTCAGTCACTAATCTTTTATTATGTTCAGTTTCAAGGGAAATTTTCTATTTAAATTCAACTCCTATGGTACTGTCCGTTCTCTAATGAAGATGTGGAAACACAAAGCCAAAAGACTAGTGTATATACTGTATCTGTATTTACAGGAAAAAGGTCATGAGAAACAAAAATGAGGAAGCTCACACACTTCATCTGAGAGTTGAGCATACATACACTTTTCCTTTTATGATGTAGATATTTTTATAATTTTGTTATTATTTTATTTTTATTTATATCTATATATTATTTTTATTATTAATTTTACGTGTTTAAGTGTTTTGACTGCATGTATGTCTATATATCACATGCATACCTGGTACCTGCTGTGGTCGGAAGAGGGAGGGGTCAGATCCCCAGGAACTACATTTACAGAGGCTGTGGGCTGCCATGTGAGTGCTGGGAATAAAATTTGGGTCCTCTGGAGGAGCAGCCATTACTCTTAATTCCTGAGACATGTTTTCAGCCTGTTTTCCATTTTAAGTCTCAGTCTCTCTCTCTCTCTCTCTCTCTCTCTCTCTCTCTCTCTCTGTCTCTCTCTCTCTCTCTCTCTGTCTGTCTCTCTCTCTCTCTCTCTCTGTCTCTCTCTCTCTCTCTCTTTCTCGTGTGTGTGTGTGTGTGTGTGTGTGTGTGTGTGTGTGTGTATGTGTGTGTATTTGCATCAGATCACTTGGAGCTGGCATTATAGACAGTTATACTATAGACAGTTGTGAGACACCCCACACACGTCTATGAATGGGACTTAGGTTTTCTACAGGAGCAGGAAGTGCTCTTAACCACTGAGATATTTCTCTAGCTCCCATGTTTGTGTTTCCTTGATTTGCATTTAATTTTTTGAAATAAAAATATAATTATATCATTTTCTCCTTCTCTTTCTTCCCTCCAACTTCTCCCGTGAGTATACCACTCCCCTGTTCTCTCTCAAATCCCAATATGTGTATTTTTGTGTGATACACACACACACACACGCAGACACACACACACAATTTTATAATTGTATGTATGCATTTCTATATACCACATGCAGTGTGTGTGTGTGTTTGTGTGTTTGTGTGTATGTGTGTATGCTTTGGGCTAGACACTTTGTATTGGATGACTAGTTGGGGGGATCTTGTCTGAAGAAGAAAATTTCTCTCACTCTTAGCACACAGTGGTTGTCTATAGTTCCTTGTCTGCAGTAGGAACTCCATGAGATGTCCCTCTTTGCACTGAGCATGCCTATTGGTGTTGTCCTTGCTCAGCGTTTATTTGGGCAGCCATGTTGATGCAACATCATGGGTGTAGCTTCCTGACTTTTCTTGGAGACAAACTGTTTTAATGGACCCATTATTCCTTTTGATCTCAGAATCTTACTGCCCAGCCCTGACTGATCCATATTTTTTAATCATCTTCACAAAGAGAAGGATACTGGGACATTTTCAAATACAAGCTTTGCTTATGCTTCAGTGTGAGAAAAATTAAGAAGTTCTTTCCCAATGCTAATCAGTGGAGATTAAATTGCTAGTGTTGAACACCTTCTAGGACAGTCTGAAAACTTGGACCCCCAAAGAAAGCCACTAATCTATGTAACATAATCTTCCACTAATCCATTAATAAATTTTTTCCCCTGCTTCTTTCTTATTCTTCCATGTGTAGATTAAACAGATTACACTGTAATTAAATTTGACTCTTACAAAAGGCAGTGTTTCAGAGCAGTGAGCTATTGGGAAGCCAGTTTTCTATTCCTAGTTTCAGTGATGACTTACAGCTGAGGACAAAGCATCCCTGCTCCAGGGTGTCCCATTTTTTTCCACCTATAGAGTGAGATAAACAATGTCTCAGAGGGATATAGTTCTGCTTTTTCAGCTCCATAGTCTAACAGGGCTCCAGATTCCTTTATAGAAGAATTCTCTTTGCAGAAGTAAAGGTATATTTATATTGTTCTGATTCTTAATAGACAAAAAATCTCAAAATCGAATTGTAAATGCCTCCCACTAGATAGTGCATTATCCACATTCTTAAATACTGCAATCAGCTGTGCCCCAAGTCTCTCTGTGATATTTATTAAAAATTAAAGGAAACACACTGCAAAGACATACCACAGAACATTTTCAAAGCCACGTGTAGTGGTCTAACTGCAGGACTTCCACTGAAGTTAATGGGACTCATACTGATAAATTCTAAGTGCCACTTTGAAAATTTACCCCATAGTGATAGTTTAATGCTTCTTATTGATCGTAAGTTTCCAGAAAACATCTTGAGGCAAAAGGGACTACTTCCTGAAGGAAATAAATAAATAACCTTTAATGAAATAAATCTGCATTGCCATCATGGTAATGAATGAGTCTGGGGCACAGTCATCTGGAATGAAAGCTCCCAGGAACTGCTTGTTAGTGACAGTTGCAAAGGAGGCTTTAAAAAGTTTCCACCACATTGTAATTTCAGTTCCACACAGAAACAATACATTTCCTGTTTAAAGTAGAAATTTCACGTTCGCAAGGGCAGGGCCATACCTACATGGAAAAGTCATGGATTGCTAATTTACAAATCATTCCTTTATAATATGTGTTACTGATAAAAAGTTCAAGTAGGCATAGATGACTAAAAGACCCAGTCAAACTTCTAGATGTCTTTATCCTAGACATTCATATTAGTTCCAAAATTTCCAGGTTCTTTGCAAGTGTTCTGTTTTGAGAAGCTGCCGTGTCGAGAGCAGAAGTTCTCAACATTTCTACTGCTCGCCCCTTAAATATAGTCCCTCATGTCGTGGTGACCAGCAATTATAGCATTATTCCCTTGCTACTTCAGGACTGTAATGTTACCTATGTTATGAATCATAATGTAAATTTATGATATGCAGGATATGTGATATATGACCCTTGTGAGGGTTGAGACCAGAGGTTGAAAACTGCTCTTCTAAAGGTTGTGACTTTTGCCCATCCCTGCCATCTTTTCTTCCTACTGTCCTTACTGTACTTGACTTACAGCCACAACACACAGTGCTTCCTGCCCAAGCCAAGCTCCTAAGATCTGAGGAAACTTTTCAAGTATTCTGCCTTGGATTGGAAAGGTATGTGCCCAAATAATTTCAAGACTGGCTCCTTTTAAAAAATATTATGATCGGCTCAGTATTCTACTGCTTGGAAAGATTTTCTTGGGCTATACAATCTAAAATATTTCTCCTCCGTTCTTTATGTTTCTATTCTCATCACCCAGAGCTCTGCTTGGGCATAGAAGAATATTACACACACACACACACACACACACACACACACACACACACACACACATTTTTCTGGATGACGAAGTTTTAAAACTGTGTCTTATAGAGAGGGAATCATGACAGTACTCCATATCATTCTTCCCAATTTTCTTTTGGCTTTTTCCTTTCTAAGAATATATGAGACTGGACTCTTACAACTAGGGACTATTTTTATTCTTATTTATATCTTTTGCACTCAGTGTGTGCCTGGCACATAAGGCACTCAGTGTGTGCCTGGCACATAATTATTTTTCTTATATAACAAGAGATAGGAAGAATAATAGTAAAATATATCCCTGGGGTCTACTAAAGTTTATTGCAGAAATGAGGGACAGTCTCCAGTTTTTCCATTTCCCTCTAGGAATACTTTTTGTGTGGTCAAAAATTTGTCAGTCCCAGGGACCCTCAGAATGACAATTCGTAAGAGTAGAAGAAGTAGATACCAGGCGAATAAGGTCTGCTTATTCGCTAATTTCTCCTTCAAGTTAGAAAGCAGCAATAGATGTAGTTGTTAAAAATCAAGCTAATGTTACTATTAATGTCATCGTGTAAACTCTGGCTTTTTGAATTTGCAATGCCAGAAGACATCAGTAGGTGCCCATGGTCAACGTTCAATCAAGTTTAATTTTAAATTGTCAGGAAACAATTCGTGAGGGATTTGTTTTTCTAGACTAAAATCATTGGAAAAGAATCCTATTTTGATTTTTGTTTTCTGGCCTTCTTCCTAACTTTTCACCAGTTGGTTAAGTACTGTCTTACTTCCTCATGTTTGGAATGGGGGTATTAGTGGCTGGAGAGATGGTCCAGTAGTGAAGAGCATCCAGGTTTGGTCTCCAGCACTCACATGGTGTCAGCTCACCACTATCTATAACTCCAGTTTCAGGAGATTCAGTGCCCTTTTCTCGTCTCTGCAGGCATCAGACATGCATGTGGTGCATAGACATATAGGCAGGCAAAAATATTCATATACATAAAAAAGATAGTAACAAAAAATTAAAAAGTATATTATAATACTTGAGTAGGATTAGTAATATAATACTTACAAGGTGCTTGAGGTAGCATGTAGCAGTCCTCAGTAAATAATGCTACTAGAAAGTAATAGTATTTGATTAAATAGGTTTTAACTGTCCCCAGCTGACCATAGGAAAGATCCTGTGTGACTGTTAGGCAATAACCTGTGAGAGAAGTTTCTACTAAAGGGGATTAAAAAGCTTTGAAGGTACTGAAAATGACTCGGGTCAAGAACAGGTCTATTCCAGTAAAAGGTGGGGATGGCAGAGAAGCAGGAAAAAAAAAAATCTTTAGTTTGTGAGCCAGTGGCATTTCGGAGTCTCTGTTCTAACTTGTTAATGCACTAACAACTTAACTTGCCTTATAATATGATAAAATCACAGATGTATTTTAATAACCTTAGTCATGTGGTTGATCTAATAAAGTCTTCTATTTTTCTTTCAGTCAAGGAAGAAGCTGGCCATGTTTTCTGAAAACAAACAAACCAAGCCAAAACAACAACAACAACAACAACAAAACACTAGCTGTCACTCTCCCAAGGAGCTGTTATTGCAAGTGAAAGAGAGATATGCTTAATTTGCAGGAAACATCTGAGCTGTGGTTAACTCTCTTCATTCACTGCTGGAAGGACCGCAGGAAACTGTTAAAACAGTGATAGGAAATCAACCTACATTTAACATCAAATATAGATCCAAGATTATTAACAGGCTGGAGTTGCACTGAGACACACTTGAAGACTGAAAAAAATTATAGCCCCGTTATGACTGTTTTTTAAAAGTAGTCACTCAGGAACCCAAAAATAGCCAGCATTTGAAGTTGAGACCGCCTGACACATCAGACTCATTACTGTGATCTAAGTACCAGCCTTTGATACTATTTGCAATTCTCCAGTAGGCCATTAAGAAAAGCTGGATAAAAATGAATGCCCGTGATACCAGTCTTGGAAGTGATTCGCGAATTTCCCTACTCATGTTATAGAAGGAGGCATTTATGATGGGATATAGAAAATTCATAAGGAAGCCAAGCCAGGGAGTTACTACAAATATGCTTAACTCTTGGAGGCAGGACTGCAGGGACTGGCCAAAGCTGGTGGAAGGTTTTCACAGCAGAGTCTTAGGGGTGGAGCTGGTTGAATATGTAGGGGTAAGGAAGGGTTTTGCCATTCTAGATACAATCTTGAAATTTTCAAAGGAAGCCATCAAAACTAAGCAAAATATTAAAAAACAGTGATGAAAGGAAAGTTTTGATTTTTAAAAAAATGCCCAGGTTGTTTTTCTTAGAATGTTAAATATTTGCAATATGTTTTCCAAATAGAAGTGGACAATGACTGTATGGGTTCTTTAATCAATTGAAGGTTGGTGGTTCAGAAAAGGGAAATGTCAGTCTCTAGAATCAGCTCACAGGGCCTCTATCAAATGGTATCCCAATGGTAAATAAGAATTAGTACTATGCTAAATAGGTAGCCTTGGCAGATAATATCAACTTAGATAAGGACAAGCGAGTCATAGGCAGAGCCGTAGCGACCTGTCCCCTGAACCCTTACCCAGCCGATACCCTGTTCTGAAAAATATCTGTATTCTCCCTGAACATCCACACTCCAGTGTCATCCCCTTCCCCACATCCTGCCTTTCTGTGTTTATAACCCCTGTGTGAACGAGTATAAATTACAATTTGAAAAAAATAAATAAATTATATTAAAAAATTAAAAAAAAAGAATTAGTACTATGCAAGGTCTGAGCATGGTTGTAGCATCTGTTTGCTTCTAATGGGAAGTGTCCTTATTGCTGTGTGTTTTAGTTGGCTTTTAATTGGTCTGACAAACACTGACCACAAACAGCTTGGAGAAAAAAGGTTGCGCTTTGTATTATGACTCCCAGCTCACAATCCATCACTGAGAGAACTCAGGGCCAAAACTCACAGCAGGCACAGAGGTAAGAACCATGGAAGAACTATGCTTTCTAGCTTGCCCTTTTACTCAGTCTTAGTTTGTTTTCCTATATAGTCCAGGTCCACTTGCCCAGAGGTAGCATCGCCCACAGTGGGCTGGGTCCTCCTGTATCAAAATTGATCAAGATAATGTCCCACAGATTGCCATAGGCCAATCTGATTGACGTGATCCCCGATAGACACTGTCAGATAACTTGGCTGTGTCAACTTGAGAGCTAGAGCTGAGTGTGCCTAGAGAAAACATTTCCCACTTAAAAGGCATAACAGGAGAGCTGTCATTTTCACATTATCCTTAAATGTTCAAGATTTCAAAAAGAAGTATGTGGCATATTTAGAGTACCCAATCTTTCAAGCATATGAAGTATTAATAAGCCTTGGTGTATTTCAGACTCTTTCATGTTCAGAACGCATATCACAGATAGGTAAGAAAGATACAATATCCCCTTCTGCATTCAGCAGTGTAGATTTGGTTGAACAAGGGGACCATAGGTCTGACTTCATCATTTTTAGTAGTTTACACAGCATTTATATGGACCCCTAACGAGATCTGGGTCTCAAGAATAGTGAGGTATAGCCCTTGCCTTTAGTAGGTGACATTTGATTTAACTGTGTGGGAAAAATCCAGGGATCTAATACCAATCATCTATTATATCAATTAGGTTGAAACACAGATCCAACTGTCACATAGACATTAAACAGAATACTGAAAGCCATGCACGATTATTTTTGCTGCATAAATAGATATATTATCTATGTTCTAAGGGGAATTCATTATATATTTATCCACATCAACTTACAAAGCAGTAAATTTTCTAGCTGTAAAATGCCCACCTAAACAAAAATCCCCCAAAGTTAACAAAACCCAAATTATTCGGTTGTTAAATCTACAAGGTAATCATTGATAGGTGTACCCAGACAAGTAAAATGATAGAGAACAGAAGATTACATTCTGAGAAAGACCTTTAAAGATCTGAAACAGACAGAGAAATATTAAAAGGCTACTGTGTGTTGATGCATCCATGGCTAGAAAAAGTTATCAAGAGGCAGCAGGTATTTGGAAAAGAACTTTCTTTCTAGCTTGACGAACAGAAACACATGGGCATTGCCTTTGGAACTGGAACACAATCAACTTTTAATTGGTTTTAAGATCTGGATTGGAACATTCCTGCAGTCATCCATGAACTGACCCTATACTGTAAAAGTTGAGTGAATCTTGGCCAACCACCTGCCTTGTGAGTTGTTCTGTTTGGGTCTCTCATGGGACAGAGAGTCCTTGTTTTGCAAGTAGTTTCACATCAAGTGATAATTTTTCCTAACCTTGTTTGAGTAGAGAACTCAGAAGGAGGGGCAGGGGCTGGAATCAAATGTTCAGTGCTTTGCTCTATGGGGTTGTGAGCTGCCACCAGCTTTTCTCCATACCTTAGGATGAAAGTTTCCAAAAAGAAAAGAAGCTTAGTTTTGTAGATGAGAGAAGTTGGTGTTAGTAGCACCTGCAGAGGAGGGAACTCTACTGGAAAGCATCCTGGGGCTCTCACCATAGGGAGCAGGATTAAGGGATGAGATCAAGGAGATTACTCAACAATTCCTCACTTTCCAAACAAGAGGGTAAACTATCCTGTAAATTAAACCCGACTTTCTCAGCTTGGAAATAACTGGAGTAAACCACACTCAAGTACTTCCAGAGTTTTGGATCTGAAAGGTTGCCCAGCAAGTGAGAAGGGCAAAAGAACAAGAAAAGCAAATTTAGCTGTCTAATAATAGCTTTGATATGCAGAGTTTTCAGTTTTATGATATGATTTTAAACATTGTTACTGAAAGGTGCCAAGTCTTAACTCCACAGGACTCTATAACGTTTTCATCAGGAGACATCATTTCAAATGGAATCTCAACAGAATGGAGTCCCTCCTGGAAGTACAGAAGCTAGGGGCAACACAGAAATGCACTGTTTTGGAACTGTGGGGTAGGGTTGGGGGAAATTCTATTTCAGAGTGTAGAGTTCGTGGTCAGATTTAAAGTTTCCAGAGCATAAGGCACACTGGTGCTGTCAATGTATGCTAGAGGGTAAGTGTTCAGTAGAAATAATGCATTGATGCCTATTCATTTGAATATAACCTGGTGGCATATTGCAGAGGTAATCAGCAGAGGCACGAGAGAGAGAGAGAGAGAGAGAGAGAGAGAGAGAGAGAGAGAGAGAGAAAATGCAGTACCATAAATCATAAATCCCACACTTTGATACTCACCTATAACACAGAAAGGCTTTCGAGCAAATCTCAATCTCCCTTGCCATCCTCTATAACGACAACAGCAACCTGCGGACCAGATTCGAATGATGAACTCCAAGCCAAAGACAACGATCATCACGAACTCCTAAGATATTAGAACAGACATGTCAGAGAGAAGCATTATAGAGTAACAACCAACTCTAAGACACTGCGTGAATATTTTTGCACCTTTAGGGCCTGTGCTTTGCACATTTGGTTGATGTGTAAAGAACATCTCTTCTCCACCAAACCAGTGTGAAGATTATTGAAGCCTCCTATTTTCTGTGTCTTGTCTCCTATTGTGGCGTGTGTGCCTCCTCAAGTCTCTAACAGTGTGAAAAACGTCAGTTTTAATAGGAATCATGCAGGTTGAGTAGGAATGTTTTCTCACTAGGGATATGTAGTGTAGCTGGCTTTAACTGCTTGGTAACATGAAATAAAAAGTGAACAGAGTAATACAATGGCAAGCTCTATAGATATAGAACTTCATTGTGCTGCAAGGAATGGCATAATCCCTAAACCTTTAAGAGTTGGTCTCAGAGGACAAGAAGTAAAGTTTAGGAGTATTCAACCTTTTGTTATAGTGTCAGACTCCCTTTAGAACACAGGCAGTTTCAGAAGAAGAACTATGTGTGTGATACATACATTCGTTGTCTGTCAGAAGTGAGACCTAGAATCCTCCAGACCTGAAGCTTGTTAATTATCATGCTGCCCTTTGGCAATGGCTGCCTGGAAAACAACACAATGGCTCCAACAAAATGACTTGGAGATTATTTAGGAAGAGCTGTGTGTTAACCCCGGGGAAAGGCCAATGACAACAGCTCTTAAACAATCAATCACAGAATGAAGAAGGCAGAGGGGATTTGCAAAAGAAAATAATTCTGGAGTAAGTCTAGCAAAGTCATTTGTCCCAGTAGGACAAATGAGCTGTTTATTAAACTTGGCTTGTTTTGAAAAGGGAACTATTTTTCTTGTTTGAAGACAAGGATTGTCCTTATTTATAATGTAGACGATACATATCACCCAACTTTATTATAAGGGATGGATTATAAAATTAACTCATGGCTTTTATATAAGCTGCCTAATATCACAGAAGTATAGATTTTAGAAATATCAAAGTCCCAACCCATTTCCCATTAAGGTAAAGTTGTTAACAAACTCATGACAACTAGACTTTTGTACATGCTTTATGCAAATATGTCCTTAGAGCATGTCATGATCTGCTATGCATTTGAAGTGCCCCAGAGAGTCACAGCATTCTATCTTCTTATTATTCTGAATTAAGGAACACACAAGGATGTCTCACAATGACAGATGAGTCCCCCATAGAGTTGTTACTCACTATTACTTTAAAACAAACAAACAAACAAACAAACAAGCAAAAGACTCCAGACAACAACAACATCAACAACAAAACTAAGATAAATAAAACCCACAGATCATCACTGTTGGTATTTTTGACCATAGGTTTGGTCATCTGTATGTAGTCACTTGTTTCTCTGTGTAGCATTGGCTGTCCTGGAACTGGCTGTGTAAACTAGACTGGTCTCAAACTCACAGAGATTCACCAGTCTCTACCTCTGGCCAATCCCCTTTAATCTCCCCGAAAGACTAAAGATGTGTACCACCACCCAGCACATCATGTTCTCAATAGCATATTTTCCAACATATACAAACCATGGTCTAATATAAAATGCTCATTTAGCTAAACTTGTGAACAATGAAGTTTCTTAGCAGATCCCACCATTACTCTTTCCTTGAACTCTTTCCTTCTGTCAGGAAGTTGGTACTTTAGTTGTGAGAGATTGTATTATAGAGGATACTCTCCCCACAAATCGATTGTGGGCCTCATCCCACAAACACAGCCATATAATGATGCTGACGTCTCAGGTAAACAGATAACACCAACAGATATAAGAACATTGTTCTTAAGAAGAGAGATGCTAAGGCCACTGTTCCATTTCTATGCTGCAGGGAAGCAGGATAGCTTATGTCTACAAGGTCTTTAATGCCCATTGATCAGGAATATGGCCATATACTTTATGGTTTTGTTTTGAAAAGAGATTAGGGAAAAATGCCAACATGCTTTCTTTGTGAAGCAAAAACTGGTAGGATTGAATAGAGAACAAAGAAATCTGTAATCATATTTAGGGGCATCACCAGCCCCTTTTCTCTGAAGCACTAGAACAGAACTAGTGAACAGAAAGTCAACAAGTTTAAATAATATACAAACAAGAAAATGAAATGGGATCTTGATAGAGATTTCCCACAAAGGCAACAGAATATATATTTTTATGTTAAAAAGTCTTGATGTAATTCTTTTGTTCACTTAAAAAAGTTCAAGATAGAGCTTGTTCTAAGCTATCAGCCGACTTCAGCATTGAAAAGAATAAAATCATGTGGAGTATATTGTCAACTTATAATGGAATTCACTTATAAATCAATAGTAAAAAGACAAGCAAACTCTAAAAACACAGAAAAGAATTAACGTATACTTTTATGTGTTTTATTTGTTAAAATAAAATCTCAATGAAAATTACAAAACATAAATAACTGAAAGAGAATGAAAGTATGACCTATCAAAATGTACAGGTAAACCACAGCAGTGAATAGAACAGAAGAATAAAATTATTCCGAAGAATACGAATATATATATATATATATATATATACATATATGTGTGTGTGTGTGTGTGTGTGTGTGCGTGTATGTGCATGTGTATATATATATATACACATGTATATGTATGTATGTATATATACATGTGTATGTATATATATATATATACACACATATATGATAAGAAAGTAATCAAATAATAATAAACAACTTAACAGAAAATTAATGAAACAAAAGCTGATTCTATGAAAAAAATCAATAAAATGATACATCTTTTGTAGGCTGATAGAAACCACAAATCTCAGGACTGTAATAGAGGATGTCACCATAGACACGGTGGCTGTGAAATATCAATAAGGGGTCTTTATGGACCGATGGTAACGGGATGTAATCCCACAGCAAACACCCCTTATCCTTTGGCTCTTAAAAGCTTTCCACCCCTTCTTGTGCAGAGATGTTACCCGTTCTTAGGAGTTAAGTGTTTTATAGATGTATATGTAAGACGTGAGCCCCATAACTCTCCAGTTTGATTGGCTATGGCATTCTGTAGTGGTTTCCATCTGTTGTAAAGTGAGGTTTTCTTGATGAGCGTAAAGGTTACACTTCCCTGTGGTTATAAAGACAACTATTTAGAATCTATTTATGCTCTTTTCATAAAGTAGTGGTTGTAGGTTCTTCTCCCAGATCCCTGATGGGTTTCAAATTGGCAGTCCAGGAGACTAGGCCTAAGAACTGGGTAAGTCCAGGCAAGCCCAAGCAAGTCAGTTACTAGAAAAAAAGCCCAGGCTCCAGCCCCCACACCATGGTAATGGTTCTGGAATGCCTAGAGATAGAGTAAGATAAAAGTCACCTACCCCAGAATTCTTCAGCAACAGTTTCCTGCCCCCACACCCTGGTAATGAAATGTCCCTAGAGATGGAACAAGATATAGGTCACCTATCCTAGAATCCCTTAATGAGCTTTAAGTCAGGCCTGTGAGCTCAATTGGTTCATTTTTTATTCTGGTAATGGGAGACCCCAGCATGCTGAACTTCTGCAGAATAAAATACTCTTTGCATTTACATACTATTTGAGTCTGTGGTATCATCCTTGGGCAAATCATGCACCCTTACACTAGCACTGATTAGTTAGCTAGGTTTCCAGTATTGGACATGATTTCCTTATTGTTGAGCAAGTCTTAAGTTCAATTAGAGAGCTGTTGGATACAACCAAAGTATGTGTGTCACTACTGGGACCCTTATGGTTATTATGCTATGGTAGTCATTGTATGGTTCATAGACACAGAAAGTCTTAACAACACAATTGTCTAAACATGAACTGAAAAAGGATAAAGAAAAGCACATAAGGTCTCAATGCTGTACAAGGAACTACAGGTAACAAAGGGATGTTAAGAATAGGAGAAGTACTCTTTCCCAATTTCCCAAGGAGAGCATACCAATTTGTTTTCTAGTACCAGATGATCAACCTTGAAAACATGCATACAAGTAAGTCTGAGCGTATATGTATATGTATATATATATGCATATGTGTATAACAATTAATGAGAAAAGACATCATGAATTTGAAAAAGGAGCAAATAGGGAAATATGGAATGGTTTGGAGAAGGGAAAGGGATGGAGAAAATATGTAATTATATTATAATTTTACAAAATAAAAGAAGCTATTAAAATGATAAAGAAGGAAAGCTACGGGAAGGACTGAAGGAGTTGAATAGGATTGCAACCCCATAGGAAGAACAGCAATATCAACTAATTGGACCCTTCAGAGCTCCCAGGTTCTAAACCATCAACCAAAGAGTATACATGGAGGGAGCCAGGACTTCAGATACACAGTGTAACAGAGGATGGCCTTATCTGACACCAATGGAAGGGGAGACTCTGGGAGTTGTGGAGGCTCAATGTCCTAGCATAGGGGAATGGTAGAGTAATGAGGCAGGAGTGGATGTGGAGGAACACCCTCACAGAAGAAAAGGGGAGTGGGGTGGGACGAAGGGGTTTGTGGAGGGGAAACTGGGAAGGGGGATATCATTTGAAATATAAATGAATAAAATGATTAATAAAAAAATAAAAATGGTAGAGATGCTAGGAATAATGATGTGCTGATAAATTTGTCAGTTCAGAAAATTGGACGGAAACCATGAAAGCATAACAAAGAATAATCTGAATAGTTCTATTATCTATCAAAGATTGAATCCATAATTAAAAAAACTTTTGAAAAATCCATGTCTAGGCCAAACAATTTTAATGTTGAAATCAACCAAATAGAGAAGAGTCATGCCACTTCCATATAATTTTTTTATAGACTACAGAAAACAACAAAAATTCTATTTCCCCACTCCAACTTCACATAATTTCTTCCAGAAAATACAAAGCATTCCTAATTCTGTTTCCCCTGTTGAGACAAGTTCTTTGTGGATAAACCATGTTGGTTTGGAGCATATTATGAATCCCAGGCTGGCTTTAAATTGGTGATACCTGCTGTTCTACC